CTGAAGGTATTAAGCTGGCATCTTCTCTGCCTCTCTTTTATAATAGGCTGGTATTGTTTTGGGCTCTTTTATTATTTTGGTGGCTGGTATTATTTTTGATTTCCATAAGTCTTGGTCTGTTGGCTTTGCTCGTCTTTTATGTTCAGCTGGAACAATGGCAATCCCCCAGCCACCGGCCCTACCCTCAATAACAATTCCCACAAATAATGACACTACCCCTAATCTGTGTGTGTGTGAGCGCCACTCGATGACAGTTTGGGGAAATCACATTTGAATCACAACAGATGAGTGATGACGGACAGAAATAGGCCCTGGGTGATGCCAACTGAAAATGTGTCATCCGTCCTCTCCCTCTTTTTCTCTCTTTGTCTCTTCCTTTATATATTTATATTCGGCTCCGCGTTCATGCAGAAACCCGCAACTGGCATTTATTGATGGAAAAGCCTATTGTGGCCCATTTCTTTGACAAACACTACATTTCTGATCCCCTCAGGGATCATCTCGGGCTGGGAACCGAGAACCGGTTTTGTGAGCCAGTATTTGGAAAAAGTTAAAATACTAAACAAATTCTAAATTGAGTCAGAATCAGAAGTTCAGCATCACTCTTTCTGCTCATCTGTGTGTGTGTGTGTGTGTGTGTGTGTGTGTGTTGGGAAGGAAGCCCCACCGCCCTCCCCCGCCCCCCAAACACTACATTTCTGATCCCCTCAGGGATCATCTCGGGCTGGGAACCGAGAACCGGTTTTGTGAGCCAGTATTTGGAAAATACTAAACTACTAAACAAATTCGAAATTGAGTCAGAATCAGAAGTTCAGCATCACTCTTTCTGCTCATCTGTGTGTGTGTGTGTGTGTGTGTGTGTGTGTTGGGAAGGAAGCCCCACAGCCCTGACCCGCACCCCCCATACTGGCACCAGCTGTGGATCAATACTGGGACAGCTGGGGCTGCCACCCGCCTAAACGCTACACACATACACACCCTAAAGTGGATGAAGCTCCCGGTCGCACCCCTTTCTTCCTCGCGCTTCCTGGAAATGTCAGTCAAAGGAAGTTTGAGGTTCATTTTAGGTGTGAGAGCCTGCAGGGGTTTTGTGGTGTTCTCCTCTAACAGGGACACACAAATACACTACACACATGCAGATGAGAAATATCGAATATTGTCATCATTTTAAGTGTTATGTCTGCTATCCTCTCAGTGATGGTGTTAGATTGTCATCGTGTTAACAAAACAAACATTTAAGCACAGGTCACTGGCAAACATCTCCATGATTCACTAGAAAAATTGTAGACAACCCAAATATGCCATGGCACCATGGATGTCATCCAGAGCAATGTTTCTAATTTACTGTTGAATATCTTGTTTTACAGTTAATGGTGTTTCAGAAAATGGCAAACATGTCAACTGGAGTTGGGCAAAATAATTTTCATTGTTGTAAACAGTTGCATTCTATATTTTATAGGCTTACCATTTTGAATTTGTATATAGAATTGCAGTGTAGACATTGAATTGCACTTATAGTATGCAGCAGTGTTGTTTTTAGTATAATTTATATACTGTCAGTAAAGTATTATATTAGTATAGCATTATAGTATTTATTAATATTTTGTATTAGCTTTTTATATTTTCATTTTAATGTTTAAATTTTTAATAATTTTGCTGTTCGATTTGTCAATTTTATTAGTTTTTGTTCATTTTTTAAATATTTCTGTTTAACTTTATTTAAAAATATTTTTTTCATATTCAATTTAGTACTTTTAAAATTTTACTTACTAATTTATTTTAGTTACTGCCAAGACAAAACGTCTTATTTTCTAAGTTTTTAAGTTTAAAATTTGTATCTAGTGTTGAATCTTATTTAGGTTTTATTTCAATTACCAAGAACGATTAATACTAGTTTTAGTTTAAGCTAACCAATAGGGTTACCTAACTTTAGTTAGCTAATACAGTGTGTTTTCTTTAACTTAATATAATCACACAATGCTAATAATGTAATCAGCTAATGTAAACGCTTTTTGACACTTTGGTTTGATTTTCTCTGCTTTGGGATTAAATGGTGACAGTGGTTTAATGATATTTTGCAGGATATACACAAAACTTTAATAAAACATACACAAAGTTAACATTTTCCACAATATATAGTCAAAATCCACAAAAAAATCTGCTCATTGATATTTAATGTATGTTTTTGTTTTTAAACATTACAGTTTGACATTCTTCTCTCAGTAGAAGTGTCTATATTGGTGTGTGTAGGGTGATATGCTTCTTAAGGGAGCAGCAGGGGGCAGCAGCCAGCCACCCTGGCACCTTCATCTCCCCTCTCCGCCAGGTATTTAGCAATTCTGTGGGTACAATAGCTGCGTATTGATAGTCATATCCCTGTGATAAATTAAAAGTGTCTTATTGTCTCTTTTCATTTTACACATTGTCATAATCCTGGACGGTAATCTGGGGTTCTGATTGACACCAGCAGCCAGGGAAAAGAACACCCTCATTGTTTGCGCTCGTCAAATCTGTTAAACCTAATTCTTCCCCGCATATTTGCATATTCTTAAGTATTTTTTCGGGGGAAGGACTAAATCCTTCTTAAGTGTTTGATGCATTTTGAAATTCATTCATAAAGGACCTACATGCACTATTAGCTCGGTATAATGCCAGTGCATAATCTCAGCGATAAGACACGCTTTGGAGTGCTGGATTCTTCAGGGATGACATGCTGTATTTCCGACCGATTCAACAGGGGCTCAAATGTCAACACAAATGTCAAGTGGCCTCGTCGGCGAGCAGTTTTGAATCTTAGACGCAGGTTTTTTCCCCTCCCTTTTATCGTTTTCATTTACTGAAGGAGTCACAGAGGACAGTCTCCCGTCCCAGCTGGAGTGGGGCATTGTGGGTAATTTGTCTGGGTGCGAGATTGGCAGGTGGCACTGTTGTTTTGATCGGGTCAGCGCTCCATCGCTTTACGTCTCTGTCTGTGTTTCAGCCGCCGGCACGTGGTGTGTTCTTGTTCGACACCTCTGATGGTGCCGTTCAGTCAGATTAATCACCTTCAGCAAACCGGAAGAAGGAAGACGGGTTAGTGTGCACTGCCCTTGTGAGTCGGCAGGTTTTTATGTGTGTGTATGGAACTGTATCGAGGCATTTCTGAGACGAAAATAGTCGCTCTTCAGCTCTCTGCGTCTCAATCTTCCTGAGACTGCTCTGATAAGGGCTCGTCTTTACCTACGGGGACCACTGATACATGCAAACACACACTCGTGTGCCAGGGAGCGAGATTTCTATCTGGAGATCTATATGTAGCTGCTCCACATATGCACACAGGCAGGTGTATGAATGCAGGCTGTTTGACAGGTTGTACACAATGCCTTTATAGGCATTTTTCTCTCTGCTCATTTTGTTTTGGATTGCTCTGCACAACATGCCTGATGGGATAAAAGTGATGAGAGCATGAAGGAAGCTGTCCCTGCACTGTGGCCTGTGTGATGGTGTTGAAACATGTTTCACAGGTTGAGTGTGGTACTTTCATCCGGGAGGAAATTGCTGATACTTAGTCAGCAAGCTGAGAAAATGCTTTAAGAACAAAGACTAAACGTGATGATATTTTTTTGACTTTGTTAAATAAGAGGAGGCAGGTCAGGAAATGTCTCCAACTGCGGTTCCGGCCTATCTGGCAAATGGTGGGCAAATGTTTTGTTTTGTTCCGTTTTTATTAGATGTTGTCGCCCCAAAGTCATTTTGGCACATGGCTCGTGTCAAACCCTTTTCCTCTCATTACTTTTTTTTTTAAACCATTATTATTATTAATTGTAGCACAGTCTGAATCCATAACATAATTTATGTTTACTGGACTTCACTAACCATAAACAAATCCAATGAATGGGAAAGCAGAATCAGGGCCAGTTCAGGTTTCCTTTCTAGTCCTTTTAAAATATTCCAGACTTTTACCTACAGGGGGCGCCATTGACCATTATGACCGGGCATGTTTGCTCTGATACTGAGTTTGGTTATTTAAATTATTTAGCCAAATGAACACCTTTTAGTTCCAATATGACCTTCTCTTTGTCTGAAAAGTCGTTTGAAGGTTTACGTGATATATGCCTGTAAATGGCTTCCAAATGTAGCTTTATCTCAGCATAGAGAATTCGGTTTCATTCTGTTTGCTAGATTTTTTAGCATTCTTTTCTTTTAGAGTTCATACTCCATTAAGGCGGTCTACATAAACTTGTATGCACGTGTTCCAGGAGTGCAGTTTTCCCCTGGGGTGTGTGTGTGGGCTTTGTACATGTTAAAGCAGGAGATGATTTTACCTGTAAGTGTGAGGATTAGCAACTTTCATTCATTCTTTTTGATTTTTGTTTTTTCTTAGTAAAGCACCACAGGGTTGTTTTGTGAAATGTGACTCTGGACCACAAAACCAGTCATAAGGGTCAATTTTTTGAAATTGAGATTTATACATTCAGCTGAAAGCTGAATAAATAAGCTTTCCATTGATGTATGGTTTGTTATTATAGGACATATATTTGGCCGAGATACAACTATTTGAAAATCTGGAATCTGAGGGTGCAAAAAAAAAATCTAAATATTGAGAAAATTGCCTTTAAAGTTGTCCAAATTAAGTTCTTAGCAATGCATATTACTAATCAAAAATTAAGTTTTGATATATTTACAGTAGGAAATTTACAAAATATCTTTATGGAACATGATCTTTACTTAATATCCTAATGATTTAAAAGAAAAATTTATAATTTTGACACGTACAATGTATTTTTGGCTATTGCTACAAATATACCCCAGCGACTTAAAACTGGTTTTGTGGTCCAGGGTCACATATGTATTTATTACGATTTGAAACTGTTAAAAACATATTGATGTCAGTTTATCAGATTTTTTTTTTCCAATGAAGCGTTGGTAGCAATTGTAATAAATTAGTTTAATTTAAATTTTTTCAGCTTAAGAAGTGTTCTAACTCTCTCTTTTTTGTGTGTGTGTGTATGTTATTTTAGGAATCTCCGTCAGGTCGTCGGAAAGCGTTGGCCACCAGCTGCATTAACATGAAGCAGTACGCCAGTGCCATGCCCACACAGACAGACGTCAAGCTCAAGTTCAAGCCACTGTCCAAGAAAGTTTTTTCCGCAACACTGCAGTTCTCCCTGTCCTGCATCTTTCTGCGAGAGGGCAAAGCCACGTAAGAGCAGCCCACTACACCACCCACACCTCCAAAACCAGCTGACTGCACCCACCCTGAAGGAATGCTGCCACTTCAAATTACGCTCTTATTCCTTTTCTCTCTGTTCATTTCTTTCTTTTTTTGCCTCAGTGACAGGGAGTGACGATACCTGACATTCCCAACATTCCTTTCCCTGGATTTCTCCCCCTCGCATCCCTCTCTCTAGCCCTTCCTCTTTGAAAGTGACTGTGTGAGCTGTGCTTCATACCTCGCTAGAGTCGCTACACTATTGACAACAGACAGTGGGCCTTTTTGACCATGACATTTTGGTGAATTTTGCTAAACTGAACTTAAATACTTCACACACACTTTTTTTTATGCAGATATAATATGATTCTGTGATTAACACTTTGAGTGATCTTTTATTAGTTTGTCATTAAAATATAGTTCATTGGTCAGAAGTAATTGTGGCAATCAAATTTCTGTTATTATTAAAGGGGTCATATGATGCGATATAAATTTTTCCTTTCTCTTTGGAGTGTAACAAGCTTTTGGTGCATAAAGAAGATCTGTACAGTTGCAAAGACTAAAGTCTCAAATCCAAAGAAATATTCTTTATAAAAGTTAAGAGTCAGCCACACCTACCTAAAACGGCTCGTACTAACACGCCCCCACATATCTACGTCACTATCTGGGAAGATTTGCATAACGCCGCCCAAATGTTCACGCAAAGAAAAGGCATAACTTTTATTCTCGCTGTAGTATTGTTGCGGCCGCCATGTCGTGAAGGCGCTGTGTGTTTCGTTGTGAAAGCGAAACTACTTTGTTTGGCCTTCCAAAAGAGGACGATATCTGCTTCGCCATGCCTGGAGCTGATCCGTGCTAGTTGCTGAGGAAATACAACAACTTTGCGCTGTGGATCGCTGTATCGGCTTTCACCATGGACGAAGTGGAGTCCAGCCTGGGGTCGTCACATGTGGTTGCCGCAAGTCTCCTTCGTCGAGTCCGCTGGCCACGCCATTCTCAAGCCCACCGCCTCTGCTCACTCTAGGCCGCCACTGCTCACTCTAGGCCACCGTGTGTGACGCTGTGTTTCGTTGTGAAATCGAAACTACTTTGTTTGGCCTTCCAAAAATGGACACGACTAGAAATCAGTGGTTAAGTTGTATTTACAACACTGTTGTAGAACACTTCAACCCAAATATTCAGATGTGTGCAGCACATTATATGGAGGACTGTTTACTGACTCACAGATTGTAAGCACGTTTTTTATATTTAAAGAGTTTTTATATTTTATATTTTTTTGGGGCAGTGTAGAGTAGCGTTTGTAGTTTGTAATTTCTCCGATCACAAATGCAGACATGGTTTTATGTTTACGCGGCGCGATGCAAAGATGTAAAAAGACAGTATAAGTCATTATAATCCATAATTATGTCCCCACTGGATGCAATTAATGCCTCTTTTATAATGGGTTTTCATGTTTTTGAATCATCGCCCCGGCCTGACAGGGCATCATCACAATATGGTAGGGGCATAACATTTCCGTCACACGCTTGAGGTATTCGGCCAATCATAACGCACTGGATAGCTGGCCAATCACAGCACACCTTGCTTTTCAGATCGATGAGCTTTGTAAAAATCGACTTCAGAAAGGCGGGGCATAGAGGAGAAACGATAATGTACTTTATGTGGAAAATAATGTGTTTTTTGAACCTTAAACCGCATAAACACATTGCATTACACCAAATACATCATATGACCCCTTTAATTAATATTTATTTATATTATTATAGAAAAATAGAATAGAATATATAAACAGAATTATTTTTATTTAAAAACCATGTCTCCCCCAAAAAGCTGGAGTCTTATATTATTTTTATGCAACTTCCTTCTTCCCTGGGTACTGTTGTTCAGAAAATATCAGGAAACACACATTTACGACTGTACCTCACGTTCCCCTGGCATGCACTAAAAGAAATCAAATCCTTTTGGAGAACTTCGCCCCAGACTTGAGCTGTTGCTTTTTGACATGCAACATGTCACAGCAAACAGAGGTCAGATGGAATGTTTCCAGTGTGTGAGTGTATGTGATTTCACCCTTGCGCTATATGAGATACGTGTATGTTTGTGTGGCTTTTGTGGTGTGTGTGTGACAGAGGTTATGCGACGGAAGTGTAACCGCTCTTAACCCATGGGAATGATCTCAACAGCACACAAATAAACCCCATTACATAAGTTCAAATCAGCTCCATGCCTGCCAAAGAAAGACTGGACCGCATTCATAAAGAAGTGTGAGATAGACAGAGAGAACTTGAAGACAGGGACATTGGGAGGGAGAGAGGGAGTTAATCCAGGAGCGTTATCTTGCCGTGCTTGTGAATGCCCTGGCTGGAATGCATGTCCGTATTGCACTGCCTCTTATGAGCAGGACCATGAAGGGCAATTCGTTTACACGTTCATCTTTCGCTGGCTCTCTCTGTCAACCTGGCTTTCTTCTCTTCTTCCGTCCATCTTCTTCTTTTTACACAAAAGCACAGTGAATGGAAGCCAAATTCACTCTTTACCAACAGTGTTGTCTGTGTTTTATTCAAGTTCTGGGGAAGGTGTTATAAAAAAAAAGTTAAAAATTCTCAATGCATTCTCAATTTTACAGTATTTACATCCATTTCAAATCCAATTAGCTTCAAAATGAGTGCAGAAAAATGCAAAATAAATAAAAAATAATAAATAAAAGCCTCAAATTCTGTCTGGGGCTGCTGAGTACTCTATATCTCATCTATGGTGAATTCATCTCATCTATGAATTGATTTCATCAGATTTATATAGTGCTTTTGTCTCCGTCACTTTTTGTGTGTAGTGATGAAGATATGCAGAGTCTGGCCAGTCTGATGAGCATGAAGCAAGCTGATATTGGTAATCTGGATGATTTTGAGGAAGAGAATGAGGAAGATGAGGAGAACAGAGTGAACCAAGAGGAAAAGTCCGCCAAGATCACAGGTGAGACCTGCTGAATTTCAGCTGAAGACGCTTTGCAGGTGAATCTGATCATTCTTTCTGTTGAAAGGCAGTGATCTGTTGTTTTTTGATCTGTTCCTTTTTCATTATTATTCTATTCTGTTATTTTCTTTTGTATGTAATAATCTGTTCTGTTTCTTGATTGGTTCTATTTATTAAATTTTTTCCATTATTCATTTGTTTCATTATTTTTCATTAATTCTATTATATTTTTCTATTCTGTTATTCCTAATGTTTCTTCTTTTTCAATTTTATTCATTACTTTATTTTATTATATTTGTTTTGTTTCTTGTTTTATTGTTTTTTTTCTGTTTCATGATCTATTTTTTTATTGTTTGTTTCATTCTATTTTCTTCTGGTTTTTTTGTTTCTTATTCTGTTGTTTCTGTTCTTTTTGTTGTTCTTTCTATTCTGTTCTGTTCTATTTTATTCATTTTTCTAGAATTTAGTTTCTGATGGCTGCATGGTGCATTTGTATGTAGTGTATAAGCTAAATATTTATGTCTAAATTGTTATAAGAGAACAAGAATAGATATGTGTGGAGTTTTGATCGCTTATAAATTTCAGCATGTCAGTGTTTGGTGTTCTCTTCAGGATTTCTGTCCAGTCTCAGTTCAGTTTCATTTGAGTGACAGTTACCTTTTTTCCTTTTGTGGTTTAATTTCTGTGTGTCATCTCTGGATAGACCTAAAAATGGCTGTCCACCAACGTTTACTATCCAACCTGACAGAACTGGAGAGGCTCTGCAAGGAGGAATGGCAGAGGATCCCCAAGTCCAGGTGTGAAAAACTTGTTGCATCTTTCCCAAAAAGACTCATGGCTGTATTCGATCAAAAGGGTGCTTCTACTAAATACTGAGCAAAGGGTCTGAATACTTAGGACCATGTGTTATTTCAGTTTTTCTTTTTTAATAAATCTGCAAAAATGTCAACAATTCTGTGTTTTTCTGTCTATATGGGGTGCTGTGTGTACATTAATGAGGAAAAAAAATTAACTTAAATGATTTTAGCAAATGGCTGCAATATAACAAAGAGTGAAAAATTTAAGGGGTCTGAATACTTTCCGTACCCACTGTATGTGTGCATTTACTTATGCCTATTGAGGCTTAAGGCTGTGCTTGTTTACATTTGTTATGCTTTTGGTCATAGTTTATTTGCTGCTTTTTTTTAGGCTTTCATACACAATGCATTGCTTGATCTCTGTGTATGATAAGGAATGTCCACCCAATACATGTCCTGTGAGTGTATGTTCGTGTTTGCATGTGCATATGTCTATGTGTGCGTGATCGTGTGAGTGCGTGTCTGTGGGACTCTGTGATATAATCCAGCCTCCCATCACCCCCAAAAAGCTGGAGTCTTAACATTAAGCCCATGTGCTTTTATCCCTTTATAAGTGTATGTATGGAGCTCCTATGGAAATGCTTGAGTTGTTTATTCATCGTATGGGTTTAGGAATCTCTTTGTTGCCATAGAGATGACGTCCGATATGGTTTTCACAGTTTGTTAGAGCGAAGACGCAGTTCGGTCTCTTTTCAGAGAGACACACCTCAACATACACACACACATACACACACACACACATATTTCCTGAATGTATTACATACCTCTCTTTGCATTATACAGGTTAGCGTGTGTATGTGTGTGTATGTATTTGAGTGTGTATTGATTGTATGTTGTGCTGTTTGCAGAGATTGTGAGGCAGCTGAATGCTCTCAGCTCTATAGATGGAGATCCAGATGACTGCCTAAAGCAACCAAATAAACCTGCCTCCTCTTCTGAAGGTCTTTCCGCTTTCACCTTCTTTCATTCTTTTATTCACACTCTCTTACTGTTCTCACTCTCACTTTTATTCACTATCTGTCTTTTTCCTTCTCTCCTCTTTTTTTTTCCATCCCTGTGGTTGTGCTGTGTGTTATAGAGCATCCGTTTATTGTTATAATATTTTTTCTTATTTAGCGTTCTTCATTTGTGATCTTGTACCCTCGTTCCACCTTCTGCAGTTTGTAGTGAACCCAACTACCCTCTGAAAAACTTTGTTTCTGTATCCATGGAGTTGATGATCCTGAAAGACGTCCTTAAAAACACCACTGGACGGATGGTAGAGTGCTCGGATGGCCTAATATGGGTCAGGGTGGCGTGGTTGAGCGAACAGAGACGCCACATCTTTCTTATCACCTCAGAGAGCACTTCACTCTGTCATCCTACACACACACTGTTTTGTTTTGGCCCACTGGCTCATGTTGTGAGTAAAAGTTCAGAATGAAACCCTGCATCAGCTCTTCTGGAACATACAGCTCTTTGGACCTGAAGGATCTTGGTGTGGTTCACTTCAAAATGCAGATGTCAACAATTTATTTATTGGTTGTTCATGCCAGAGTTTTGCTTTTATTCAGATTTTCACCCGATAATTCAGCGCTTGTCCTTGCTGATTGTTTTGGACTGATGAGTGATATTCTCTTTTCTCTTCCTTCTTGTTCTTTTATCATTGTGGATGGATGTTGATGGTTTAGAGCTGATCAGTAAGTTGAACTTCCTGGATCAGGAGGACCAAGAGCAAAGCAACATGAGCTCTAACCTCTTCGATGAACCTAATGACCCGGTTGACCTTAACCCCTTTGGTGACCCGGATGAGGACGGTAAGGAGTGACTCTTGACTCTTTGTATGACCCCTTTGCCCCTTTATCAACAGGGCAGGTTGTACTCATAAACAATCTGAGACACGTGACGATGTATTAAAGGGTTAGTTCACCCAAAAATGAAAATTAGCCCATGAATTATTTTATTATTTTTTTAAATAATGGGTTAATTTTCATTTTTGAGTGAACGATCTCTTTAAGTGAAAAGGGAATGTTTACTGCAACTGGATTTTGGAAAATCATTCTTAATTAAGATTTAATTATGTAAATGCATTTGATACTAGGGATGTTCAAAACTATTTTCAAATCCAACTAGTCAGTGGGTAGTCAGAACAACTAATTGACTAGTTGGTCATAAAGCTGGCATGAAATGAAAATAAAAATGTTTAATTCATGTTATAGAGCTTATTGTGAACGATTGATCCATGTATGTTTTTATTTAAAATATACAGAAATTATTACAGCTATGACTGTTGATCATGATTGTGAGATTATTCACAATTTTTATTTCAGTTATAGTTTATTTTCATGATTATACATTTAAAGGGGTCATATGATGCAATTTCAATTTTTCCTGTTTTTATTTAAAATATACAGAAATTATTACAGCTATGACTGTTGATTATGATTGTGAGATTATTCACAATTTTTATTTCAGTTATAGTTTATTTTCATGATTATACATTTAAAGGGGTCATATGATGCAATTTCAATTTTTCCTGATCTGTAAAGTTGCAAAGACTAAAGTCTCAAATCCAAAGAGATATTCTTTATAAAAGTTAAGAGTCAACCACGCCTACCTAAAACGGCTCGTTCTAACACGCCCCCACATGTCTACGTCACGATGTGGGAAGATTTGCATAACGCCACCCAAATGTTCACGCAAAGAAAGAAGGCATAACTTTTATTCTCGCTGAAAGCTAAACTACTTTGTTTGGCCTTCCAAAAGAGGACGATATCCACTTCGTCATGCCTAGAGCTGATCCGTGCTGGTCATTGAGGAAATACATCAACTTCGCGCTGTGGATCGCTGAATTGGCTTTCACCGTGGACGAAGCGGAGTTCAGCCTGGGGTCGTCACATGTGGTTGCCGCAAGCCCACCGGCCGCTCCTTCGTCGAATCCGCCGGCCGCGCCGTTCTCAAGCGTGCCAGCCGCCGTTCACTCAAGCCGGCCGTGTGTGACGCTGTGTGTTTCGTTGTGAAAGCGAAACTACTTTGTTTGGCATGCCAAAAGAGGAAACGACTAGAAATCAGTGGTTAAGTTGTATTTACAACACTGTTCCAGAACAGTTCAACCCAAATATTCAGATGTGTGCAGCGCATTTTATGGAGGACTGTTTCCTGATCCTGGTAGAGTAGACTACAATGCCGGCTGTTCTGACTCGCAGTCTGAAAGTAAGTTTTCATATTTAAAGAATTTGCCACTGATGATTCAAACGAGTTTTGAGCAGTGTAGAGTAGCGCTTGTTGTTTGTCATTTCTCCGATCACAAATGCAGACATGGTTTTATGTGTACGCGGCGCGATGCAACGCAATGTGTAAAAAGTCAGTATAAGTCATTATAATCTGTAATTATGTCCCCACTGGAAATGCCTCGTTTATAATGGGTTTTAAAGTTTTTGTCTCGTCGCTCCGGGACACGGCATCACAGTATGGTAAGGCGCATAACATTTCCGTCACACGCTTGAGATATTCAGCCAATCAGAGCACACCTCGCTTTGTAAAAAAAAAAAAGACCGATGAGCTTTGTAAAAATAGACGTGTTTCAGAAAGGCGGGGCATAGAGGAGAAACAATGTACAATATGTGGAAAATAATGTGTTTTTTTAACCTTAAACCACATAAACACATTTCATTACACCAAATACACAAAATAATGTTCTTTTTAGCAACATCATATGACCCCTTTAATAGTACAGTTATGGTGGGCATAATTTATATAATACAGGTGGGCATGTTGCGCATTGTGTATTTCTAGAACCATCTCCCGAGCCCCATGTGCTGTCTACTATCAAAGATCAAGAGCCTGTATTTGATCAGAACACCTCTTATCCCTCAAACCCATTTGATGAGGCTGACACAGATATGGATTCTTCTCAACACGGGAACCCGTTTGAAGAACCTGAACCAGAACCCCAGCCTAAAGTATCTCCACCCAGAAGCAGCAAGAGAAAGAACGTCCGTCCGGTGGACATGAGCAAATACCTGTACGCCAACACAACCAGGACAGAGGAGGAGGAGCTAGATGAGTGAGTCAAGGCATATTCTGTGGGATGGGCTGTGGGTTACAGCAGATCAATTTAAGTTATTATTTATATTTATTTATATCAACACAGTTCTGTAACTAGGGATGCAACGATTATAGATTTTGTTGGCACGATTATTGTCTGAGAAATAATCACGATTATGACGATTATTATGCATTTATTAATTTCACAAAATTATTAATGTATAAAATCAGATGGACACTCTTTAGATAATAAAGTGTTATTTATTGCTGCCTTTAGAAACAGAAAGAACAGAGTAACCAATAATACAGCACAACATAATAATAATAAAGACAAACAAATGTCTATCTCTCCAATTGGAATTAAAAAGGTGACCTCTGCTCTGTAAACATCAATGTCAGTATTTCCCTTTTATAAATAACTAATGAAAATGGATCACAAAAGTATGTAGTGTTTTCAGTTTGTAAATTTTTTATGTTTCTTTTGGACCTGAGGCAGAAAACTGGAAACATGGTGGAAAAAAACAAAACAATTATTGTTGGTTTTTGACTTTTGCATAATACTATAAAAGGGATAATATATAACAATGTTAATAAGTATTATTGATAAAGGACTATTAACTTTATTTATCCCACAGGGGAAACTATTAATAATGAGGGGAATAAACTGAACTATCATTGTAATCAACTGTCATCCATACATATTCATTTTAATAATGTTTATAATCATATGATTTTACATGTGGTCAGAGAAAATCATGTCTATTATTTAGGTTTGTGAGATCGCGCTGCGTGCACATTCAAACGTTTAGGAGGACTCAAACTTGTGAACCCTGCCCCGTGACTTTTATTAATAAAATAGCTTAGATACTGAATTGCTACATATTCATGAGCAAGGAGAGGGTAAAATCACTGTTTAAGTAACTAAACTCTCATGTTTGTAGAGAGATGCGCTGACGCAGGTTCACACACACACTTCTCTCTCTCTCTCTCGCTCTCTCGGTCGAATAATTAATTAAAGTAGCTAAATTTTACTATTAATCAATTCAAATAAATGTGATCTTACCACACTATTTCATCTGTCTGATCTGAAGTGGGCAGAATACTGAGCTAACGAGCCGTAGCTCTGCCTTCATGTCGCGCATTAAAATAGTTTAAAGCCGTGTATTCGCTCTTTAGCAGCAGTTTTTATGGCAATATTTAAATGACACCCTGGTCATTCTTGGTGTACCCAAAATGGTCCTACACTATCGACTCTTACATTACATCTTACATCTTACTCTTACATTTCTCTGGTGGAAATAAAGGATCGCTGTTTGGTTTCTCTGTCATAGTTAATCTAGTGTGTGTAGTAGCCTCCGTGTCTGATAAGCACAGCATTTTAAGATGGTGCACCGCTAGTGTAACTTTGTTATCGTTTTGCGCAAGTTGCAACTGTTCCGTCCTGTGCAACAGAAACACTCAGTGTAGCAGAGCCTTTACGATTAATTAACCGTGACATTTTAAAGCGCGATTAATTGTGAAACCTATCTGTACATCCCTATCTGTAACACACAAAATTTGTTCTACTACTGTTCATTAGTAGCAAGTGTGTGTGTGCTTGTTTGAGCGAAGGAGAAAAGCACTTGTCGGAGGAGAAGAAAGTGGTGAGCGAGTTCTTTCAGCAGGAACAAGGCTTCTGTTGTTTCCCACATTCTTTGGGCTTGTCTGTTCATCTCTGCATTTCTCTCGTCCCTCACTCACTCACAGTGCTCCAGCAGGGACACACGTTTCCAAACCTGGCATTATATAGAGAACATGAGAGCAGAGGAGGATACATTTTTAAAGCTGAAGTGTTTCTAAAGGGTTTCATTTTTCCAATGTTAAAATGCTGTCACTTTCTACTACAGCACCTGCTGGCCTGTCAGTCCAGTAATGCCAAATTTTCACTGGCACCACCACAAATTTTTAGCAGTGCATAAAGAAAAAAAACAACTATATATACACAAACACACACACACCATGTTCAAAAGTTTGGAGTCTGTAAATTTTTTTAACATTTAGCATTACATTTTCAGAATTCTTTGATGAATAGAAAGTTCAAAACAGCATTTGTTTAAAATCTTTTGTAGCATTATAAATGTATTTACTGTTTTGTTCAGTTTAACACATCCTTGCTAAATAAAATAATTAATTTCTTTAAAAATTATGTTTCTTTAAAAATTAAGCTTAGCTTACTGAAAATTACATATTTATATTAAATGTTGTAAGGATGTTGTACATGAGACATATAAAAAAAATTGCCTACTAAGATCTCTCTAAAACCTTCTTTTTCTGCTTTCTTTTCACTCTCCTTCTCTCTCTGTCTCTCGTCCTCTCTTTCACCTGCATTTGTTTTGACTGCACTTTCCACTTTTTTCTTTTCTTAACTTGTTTGCATTGCCGTCAGCTCTTTCCTACAGCTCCTTTCTCACTCTCACTGTCTGTAAGCTTGGGATACTTTGTGTTTTTAACCTTGTCTTTCAGCTGAATACCTGCTCAGGCTTTTCTCAAATCTGCCTCCTCATTGTGTGTGTGTGTGTATTCATGTACATGTGTGTGTGTGCTTGTGATGAGTGATAAGCCTTTACACAGCAGTGTATTAATGCAAGCGGACATCTGTGTCCGCCTGTCAGTGAGCTCTCCGACGAGGCCACAGGTTAAAGTTCATGAGGTGTGACCTCTGGAGAACCTGGTCCTTCTAGAAGTCAGCAGAGCGTTTTATTGGCTAATAATGTTAGCTGATGCCTCCTCTACCTGAAGACAACAACACACACACATTTGTCAGCATAATATTACAGACAAGTGGAAAGGGGTAGAAAATCTACGTGTTAAACTAGCTAAGTATGCTAAATTGACAATTACCTGTTGAGTGAACGAAAACACCGATGTCCCATTTCTACTGTGATTCACCAGTTTGCTTGTTTAAGCTTTTTTTGCTGATATGGCAGTTTGTTCTTCCACTCTCAGATCAAACCCATTCTATGAGCCCAGAGCCTCCAGTGCAGCCTCATCTACCGCAGACAGCAGCACCTCAGAGAAGAGCACCAAACGCCGGGCCCCTCTGCTTCCCAGTGCTGGACCCAATCCTGCTGTGGCCCCTGGAGGCCCTGCACCAAAGACTTCAGCTCCTGGAGTAGCATCCACTCCGCCTTCTCTGGCACCCTCAGCTGTCACAGCTGTGATAGGGAGAGAGTTTGCCTCGTCCTCACCTAAGGTATATCTTCCTCACCACATTATGACTCTTTCATTTCCAATAGAGTATGATGTTAGTGTGTTGTTGTGCTAAAAAAACATGCTCTAGTAAGCATGAAAAAACTAATTGGGCAGAAATAGTCAGTTTTTACATCTGGTATTGGTATTAAATAAAATATAATTATCTTTTTCACCTTATCAGCCATCTTTGTTGAGTTTAACTGAGCTTGTCCTAATGCATTCTGGGATTGTGATGCAATGCAGCCTTAGATTTTGGTCAAAGGAAGGATGAAAATCTCTCCCAACCAGTGCTGGGAACCTTCTCATTTGGTGCATTACTATAATATTAGAGGTTATAATTAGACCCTAAACTATTATATTTAACTGCTATTTCTTTTCAGATGTAATAATCACATTCAAAACTGAAATGTTTGAATACAACTGAATTGCACATAAAGTAGTTTAAAAAAACACACAAAGAAAATCTTATAATTGTTGATGTGAAAACATTTGTGCTGCTTAATATTTTTATGGAAACCATGAATTTTTTTTAGGATCTTTGATGAATAGAAGGTTCAAAAGAACAACATGATTTTGACAGAAATCTTTTATAACATTATAGTCTTTACTGTCACTTTTGATCAATTGAATGTGTCTTTTCTGAATAGAAGTATCAATTATGGGTATTTCCCATTACAGGATCTTTATTTTGGTCACTCTTTTTTCCAACAGTGCCACATTTCTTGGTTTCTCCTTTCACTTCTCTTTTTGACATCCAGGACCACTCACTCCATCCCTCTCATCTTCTTTCTGTCCTCTTCTTGCACGCTTCACTCCAAACATTTAAATACAGGCATGTATTAGCTGCTCTGTAGGATCGTTATATATGCATTATGATTCTCTTCACTCAATGCTTTAGTGAGTCTAATTAACTCGCTCTGCGGTCCCTCACTGGCTGAGGGTGTTGGGAGTAGGGGGCGAAGGGAAGCCCACCAAGTGTGAATGAGAGCGAGGTGTCGGGCTGCTGCAGAGGGGCTTATACATGGCCAGATTAAATCCCCACAGGCCGAGTGTTTTTATTTATGCCTGCGAGTGTGTGCGTTATAATGTAGTCCATATTTAATTATAGCGAGGGTTTTATCACAGCACAGCACTTGTGTGTGTGTCCATGCCTGAGAAGTCCTGCCCAACTTAAACATTTAATTACCCAAATTCAGTGGCCTGTGATGACACACACACACTCACATAGACATCAGGAAAATAAGCAAATTTCCTCAGAAACAGAAAGTGGTGTCCAAGTTTCAGCTCATGGATACATGGATTTGTGCTCTAAACCAGTGCAGCCTCATCTACCGCAGACAGCAGCACCTCAGAGAAGAGCACCAAACGCCGGGCCCCTCTGCTTCCCAGTGCTGGACCCAATCCTGCTGTGGCCCCTGGAGGCCCTGCACCAAAGACTTCAGCTCCTGGAGTAGCATCCACTCCGCCTTCTCTGGCACCCTCAGCTGTCACAGCTGTGATAGGGAGAGAGTTTGCCTCGTCCTCACCTAAGGTATATCTTCCTCACCACATTATGACTCTTTCATTTCCAATAGAGTATGATGTTAGTGTGTTGTTGTGCTAAAAAAACATGCTCTAGTAAGCATGAAAAAACTAATTGGGCAGAAATAGTCAGTTTTTACATCTGGTATTGGTATTAAATAAAATATAATTATCTTTTTCACCTTATCAGCCATCTTTGTTGAGTTTAACTGAGCTTGTCCTAATGCATTCTGGGATTGTGATGCAATGCAGCCTTAGATTTTGGTCAAAGGAAGGATGAAAATCTCTCCCAACCAGTGCTGGGAACCTTCTCATTTGGTGCATTACTATAATATTAGAGGTTATAATTAGACCCTAAACTATTATATTTAACTGCTATTTCTTTTCAGATGTAATAATCACATTCAAAACTGAAATGTTTGAATACAACTGAATTGCACATAAAGTAGTTTAAAAAAACACACAAAGAAAATCTTATAATTGTTGATGTGAAAACATTTGTGCTGCTTAATATTTTTATGGAAACCATGAATTTTTTTTAGGATCTTTGATGAATAGAAGGTTCAAAAGAGCAACATGATTTTGACAGAAATCTTTTATAACATTATAGTCTTTACTGTCACTTTTGATCAATTGAATGTGTCTTTTCTGAATAGAAGTATCAATTATGGGTATTTCCCATTACAGGATCTTTATTTTGGTCACTCTTTTTTCCAACAGTGCCACATTTCTTGGTTTCTCCTTTCACTTCTCTTTTTGACATCCAGGACCACTCACTCCATCCCTCTCATCTTCTTTCTGTCCTCTTCTTGCACGCTTCACTCCAAACATTTAAATACAGGCATGTATTAGCTGCTCTGTAGGATCGTTATATATGCATTATGATTCTCTTCACTCAATGCTTTAGTGAGTCTAATTAACTCGCTCTGCGGTCCGCGGTTGGGAGTAGGGGGCGAAGGGAAGCCCACCAAGTGTGAATGAGAGCGAGGTGTCGGGCTGCTGCAGAGGGGCTTATACATGGCCAGATTAAATCCCCACAGGCCGAGTGTTTTTATTTATGCCTGCGAGTGTGTGCGTTATAATGTAGTCCATATTTAATTATAGCGAGGGTTTTATCACAGCACAGCACTTGTGTGTGTGTCCATGCCTGAGAAGTCCTGCCCAACTTAAACATTTAATTACCCAAATTCAGTGGCCTGTGATGACACACACACACTCACATAGACATCAGGAAAATAAGCAAATTTCCTCAGAAACAGAAAGTGGTGTCCAAGTTTCAGCTCATGGATACATGGATTTGTGCTCTAAATTGCCCAGTGAGTGTGCCGCTGGACTCAGACCAGATCAGTCTAATTAAACACAGAGTGATTGGTCCATCAGAATTATTTCAGTATTCAGTATTTGATCTGAGATGTCACGTTTCCAGCAGAACCCTATTTATTCTGATCATGTGCTCCCTCAATCTCTATCCCTCACGCACTCGGTATGGATTATGATTCCATTCTTTCCCTGTATGCGGAGGTTGTTTCCTCGGAGTGTGGTGTATAAGATGACCTTAGCATGAATAAAGTCAAATGGGATTAACTGGAGACACACATGCACTATGGCTTCACATTCAGAGTAAAGATATGGGGAGGCCCAAAGGCCTTGTTTATGACTTTTCTATGTGTATTTATGTTGTTGCTAGAGGAACCCCCTTGCATGCTTGTAGACCTGAGGTGAGGCAGAAGGTGCTGGTTGAAAAACAAATGAATAGGATGCTGCGATAATCTCCGAATGCACAAAAGAAATGGAAATGTTGAAATTGCCGTAGTTCATGGATTAGAGCAGCCCTGAAGACACACACATTCACAGAGTCAATCTGGGGGGCGCATGGTAATGTCATCATGGTTTTGTAAACAATCTGGGATAGGTTTGAATATTGTCTAAAGGGCGCTACCTTTGGTTTATCATCATTCCGCTAACACAGCCTGTTCTTTGAGTAGGGCCCTATGATTTCCGCGATATGGAAAATTTGGATGGAATCCCGGAATCCAGTCATAAAAACAAAATGTACTGTATAACACGGAACGGAATTTGCCAAATTTTGGATGGATAAATCAAAATTTGGTCAGTACACATAAATTAAAACATGATATGGACTAGTGTCTGTGAATATTGAACTGCAAAAATACTATTTAAATATGAATCCTGTATGTTCTGCTCTGAGAATCACTTCATGAGCATTTTTACCATTTCTTTCGAGAAAAGCGTCTCTGAAGTAACCTTAGCTCCCTGAAATGAGGGAATGAGACATTGCATCAGATGCTGACACATTGGGGTAACACCTTTCTCCTAGAAACACTGAAGCCTGATTGAATAATGCTATTGCGTTACAACGCCCCCTATTTAATGTGTTGCTTGGCGCCATTTCCTTAGAATCTTTCATTTGAATAAGCAAGCTACGAATAACCATGTGCAGAAGTAACACGGCATGTTCGCAATGTCTCGTTCCCTCATTTCAGGGAACAGAGGTTACGTCAGTAACCGGAGACGTTCCCTGTCAATATCGGTCTCTCGACGTCGCATCAGATGCTGACGCATTGGGGAATGTGCCAAATTACGCCATTTTACTGCAAAGGGTTCTCAGCATAATGGGAGCGGATAGTCCTAATATGCTTGCACATTACTATGTCATATGACAGAGCCATGGTGGTAAGTTGCATAAGCATATATATTCCAGTAATTCTCCAGTGTTACGCACACATAGGCGTGCGATACTGGACCTAGTTGAGCACCATTATCTCAGAGGTTCAGCATATGAATTGGTTAGGCGGCGGCAGCACCACCTCATTATGACGTGTTTTATGCTATCGGACCTAGTTAAAACATGCACCAAAGAGGGGAAGTGCCCCTTACTCAGCCGCTCTAGTGCGTTCATTGAGCAGTACATGGGAAAGGAAGCGGTAAGCCCGACGCTTGTAAATGTTGTAACCATAACTCGCCGATGAAAGGGGCCAGTGGCCGCTCAGTGAGTGACAAAAAGGTGTGAATGCTGACAGAGTTATAACCTGGGCTCCGAATGCTCTGAACGGTGTTGAGAGCACTTTAGGGACATAACCCTCCCTAGGTTTGAGAACATCCTTGCCATCACTAGGGCCAAAATCCATGCAGGAGTAGTTGACTGAGAGTGTGTATGTCACCCACGCACTTCACCGAAGCGAGTGCTAGGAAAAGTGCAGTTTTAAAAGAGAGAATTTTTAATGAAATCGACTGCAGCGATTTCTCCTTATGGAATGCTGATATAGCGGCGACGTATACCTTGAGCATGGAAGGCGCGGTCACCATCTAAGCACTCTTTCAAGAAGGAGAGAATAACTGCAGTCAGGCAATTCACAGGGTATTCTGTCTTTTAATTGCACCAGTTCTCAAAGACCCTCCATTTATGAATATACAGGCCCCTTGTAGAAGGGGCTCTCACTTCAGCACGCGCTGAGGGAG